ATTACTATAAATATCTTCCTTCAAGAATTTAATACAAACTACCATATTTTATCTTTTCACTTAATTAAACTACAATTTGATATCTGGTTTCAAAAATTTTTTACACATTACAAAAAACTTAATAAACAAAAAGTCTATAATTATATCAAATACCAAATAACAACAGCAACTAATAATGATTACAAAAAGTTTATTCTTCAAAAATCTGAACTATCAACTATTTAATCTATTCAAGACTAAACAAACTATATTACCAAAACAACAATACATCATATATATATCTGTACCAATCTTAAAAAATATAAAATCCTTAATTCAAAAACAACTCATAATATTTACAATCTAACTTCTTATTACTTTAAACAATCCTTTAACACTATACCTATTCAACAATATATATATTTGCCTTTAAACCTTTTTACTTTTACCTTAGCAACATTCTATATATCTTTACCTTTTAAAGAACTTTATAAACTAGTCAACCAATTTGAATAAATCTTTATTCAACTAAACAATATATTTACTAATTCTAAATATATATCTTATTTCTTTTACTGCTATCTTAAAGCTTACTTTAAAGCTGTAGCAACAAACAATGAAATTATTAATTTTAATCTCAAAGAAGCATTAAATAAAATCTCATTTCAAACAAATGATCTACAAATCCTAGTCAGAATTATTACCTATTATGACATTACTTAAATCTCTAAACTAATAATTACTCAACTTAAAAAAAACCTTAACAAGTTATACTTCAATCAAGCAAATGAATACATTATCAAAAAACTTAATATTGTTATATCTATAATATCAGTAACTGATTTTATCTACACTTTCAATATATCTAAAATCATTGATGAATTCAATGATAACTTTTTTTTCTAGCAATTTTTATATATTTATATTAACTTTTCTTTATCTATTTACCTATCTAATCTATATTATTTATCTTAGTTACACTTTTACAATTCTGTTAACTTTCATTATCTATTTACTTATTTAATTAACACTACCTTTTACTTTTTTAACTATATTTTATTTCTTATTTAATTTATTATATATTTGTTTTCTTTTCTTTATAATAATGTAATTAATTTCTAATAATATAAATAGTTAGTAAAATCTATGAGTAACTTACTAGTATATACTAGAGTAATGAACATTATTTAGAAATTTTCAACTAATCTAAGTGAGCCTTAGCCACTCTAGTAGGTTTAAGTTGCAGATAAATATGTCTGAGCTCTTACTCTTGCATGTAACATTTATATTACTTAGAGTTATAGTTTTATATTTAGCAGTTTAATGGTTAGCCCTGATTGCAAATGTTGGTTTTAGCCACAACATATATAGAACTTCTTTTTGTATTCAGTAACTTCATGTAGTTACTACCTAATGACTATGAATAAAGATAGGAACAAGGCTTCATCTTAATACCAAAAAAAAAAAATACTTAGTAGAAATTATAATACAATTAAAAATTTACAAAATAAAAAACAAGTAAAACATCAGAATTACTATACACTTAGTTACATTTCCTAAAAAAAGAAAAAAAATAGTAAAACAAATTATTCACAATTAAGTTGTAAGTATTGTAGTTCAAGAACAAAATACTATTGTTTTGTAATACCTCAAAAGCTGTATGTATTAAATGCTTTAGCAAACATCTTTTAAATTTTTAAAAAATATATAAAAATAAAAAACAGATCTTATTTGTGATTAATTTTTTTTTTGCTGTTATTATATATATTTATAAAATATTTAAAAAAAATCTTACTTTACTAAATTTAATATAACAAAAAAATTCATAAATATTTTTTACTTAAATTTGATTTATGTGAAATCTTGTATATAAATACTATCTGATTTTTTGCATAAATAAAATATAGAATTTACTTTATATTTTAGCAAAATATAAATAAAATTAATTGTATCGTTATTGATACCCATTAAATATTCACTTCCAGCTTTTCGCTCTGCAGCACTCATATACTGTAATCGGATTATCCCTAATTAATGTAAACAAAAAAAAACAAACAAAAAATTTAGACTAACAAAATAATAATGATAAGTAATAAATTAATAATTTTATTTATTTCAAATAACTCAAAAGTAATATTTATTATGGCCAGAAAGTATTATAATTACGGTTTTTCTAAAGTATTTGGAATATTTCATTGCCTTTTAAAATGTTTATAATCCTCCAATTTATGCAATGGCAGTTTTTTGTTGCTGCGTCCTAGATTTAAATAAATAATCAGAGTTATAATCTTCCGGAAGAGCATTAAGAATAAAATCTACAAGATTTTCTGGTTCAATTGCAATCAACATATACTTTTAGAATAGTGTGTTAACGATCGATTTTCACTTTAAAGAATCGAATAAAAAAATCACTTACTAAATCAATTATGTTGATTTTAAAAATTTTTTAGAGTAGTGATTCGATTTTGACCCAGACCCCTATAGTAAAGATATGGTCTAAATTTTGGTGAGGGTAGATTTTTAGAAGCGCCAAACATTTTTGCTTATTACATCTGGTATTGGTTATTTAACTAGTTTTTTAGATATAGCAACTGTAGTGTTGAACACCGTAAAACCGAATAAACAAAATCGACCATCCAATACAATTTAAACTAATCACCTGATACTTTACTGTAATTAAACTGACTGTCTATCGTTTGAAGAGATCTGATTGGTGCAAATTTGTCGGTACTACTGGATCGGTTGTACGTACTAGTTGAAAAAAAAGATCCACATTTTAGATACCTACGTATGCACAAGTTTTAGACACATGCATGCATTCTTTTTTCCTCAAGATGATACTATCAAGAAACAGCACTCGTACACATTTTACACAATTAATGAACAATCATCTAAAACAATTAAATCGAACATTAGAACAAACATTAGAAGTACCATTTATATCACCACGGATTTTAAAATTGGCTCGCGGAAATTTTCATTATTCAAGAATTAATGAATTCGATAGTAGATCACATCACTTGCTTGGTAATAAAATGAAAAATTCTCTAACATTTACATCCGAAAAACCCAATATTACCACAAAATTACCTACACCAGCAAATGAAACTCAAAATATTAAAGAAGTTCTTTTAAAAATGATAATGAAATCATTTAAATATATCGATAATGCAAACATCGCTAAAGCTTGGGATTTATATTTAAAGTTAGAAAATTATGGACTTTTAAATGATTCACCCATTAAATTTCAACAACAATTAGTGAAATATTACATCAAAAAATCTGATATGCAAAAAGTTAAAATTCTAATTAAAAATCTAAAGCTTAGAAGTAGTGATGAGGTATGGTTACGTTATTTAACCATAATGGAGAATATATCAAATTTTGATATGAATGAAGCAATAAAATTGTTCGGTGATTTGGTATCGACTGATAAAGAAATACCAAAGGATTCTATGCTTAACATGTTGGTTGCACTTGTGTGTCACAGTAATGTTAAAGCAATAGATGATGTTTTCATATTTGCTGAGAAATGGGCTGAAAAATTATATTGTCCGTCTGCTGTGGAAGTTTATAACACATTGATTTCAGGTTGTGTTAAACGAAAAGATTTCAAGAGTGCCTATTCAATATTAGAAATAATGAGACGTAAAAATCTACAACCAAGTCATGTAACTTATAATATATTAATAAATCTTTGTGCAAAACTTGAAAAGAAAAAAGAAGCAGAGGAATTATTCCGAGATATGTTGAAGGCAAACATTCAACCTAATGTCAGAACATATTCTAGTCTTTTTGAAGTATGTGGAAAAGTGAAAGATATATCTTCAATCGAATACTACTTTAAACATATGAGTCGAAGAGGTGTTAAACCTAATCATCACACTTATAGCATCTTAATCACGGCATATGGTCGTGCAGGACTTTGTAAAGAAGCTAGTAGATGGTTTTATCATATGGTGGTAGTATCTAATTTATCCCCAAATTTAATAACCTATACATCTTTAATGGTCGCTTGGATGCAAAAAAATGGGGTTAACGAGCAAGTTGTGGATAGAATCTTTAAAGACATTAAAAAAGCAGGAATAGAACCAGATGTTATCGCTTATACTGCTCTTATTACCGCTAAAGCAAGATGTCGCAAGTTTACGGAAGCTGCCCATGTTTATCAAGAAATGCTTGCAAATAATATAAAGCCTACGGTGGTTACATATTCAGCTCTAATTGATGCATCTGTTACGTTGGGTGACTTAAATACATCGCTTCGATTATTTGATGATATGAAAAAAACGGATATTGCACCAAATGAGTATATATATTGTAGTATAATGAGCGCATATATTAATCAAAGAATGCTTTCAAAAGCATTTTATACCTACCAAAAAATGCTGTCACAGGGCGTTCAACCAGACACCACTTGTATCAATTGTTTGATGGACGCTTGTAACAGAGAACGACAAATAGATCGTGTTTTTGAATTGTATAATAATTTGGTCAAAAATCCAAATCTTGAACCCGATGAACGTACATTCACTATTTTCCTTGATTCATGTGCTTATAATGGTCGTGTGAGTGAGGGCAAGACATTTTTCACAAACCTTGTGAATAATTACTATCCGCTCAGCGAACGCAACTTTTATGCTTATATTAATTTGTTAGGGATAAATCATTATGGACACGAAATAATTGATACAATAAGATTAATGAAGAAAATGCACGTAAAACCAAGTAGATTCACTGTTTTAATGTCTATAAATTACATCTATGATGCAGAACAAGCCGACCATTTTTATTTAATGAAGAATATTTTAGAAGGATGGGTTGATAAAGATGTAATTCCCCGTTGGCAACAAATTATCCAATTTAGAAGACGACATCGTTAACAATAGATATTTAAATCTAATTCTGAGTAATTTACTTAATTTTGGAAATATTGTACATTAAATATATTCTTTTATAAATACATTCAATGTCATTCAAATATATAAGAACTTTTTTTGTTTACTACCTCATTTCGTTGTTCATTCTGATTCATTCAAACGAGATTTCGTAATAACCATATCAAGAAATCTTTGATCTTTTGGATAATGTTGATTTTTTGGATCTCCCTATTTAAAAAATCAACAATGGTTAAAATCTAAAATCTCAAATCTCGAAATACTCGTGAAGTTATTCGTGAAATTACCTACCAAAGCAATGCGAATAAATCCAAAACAATCCACTAAAATTTTTCTAGCAGCAAATCTATGTATACCAATTTGTTCTAGTTCTTTTTCATTTAAATTTATTATTTGTCGTAATGTCATTCCCTCAAAACATGGTGTAAATTTTATTAGTCTATTTCCTTTCAACCATAATGGAAATTCTAAAGAAATAGAATAAATAAACAGAATAGATAATTAACGACATAAAATAATATAAAATTCTAATAAATATTTATTAGATATTTTTCGTTAGTATTTGATGCATACCTTTTAACAATTCAAAATTTGGATTCTTATAATTAGCTTCCCAGAATTGACTATGTAATTGATTTAATTGTTTTGAACGTAATTTCCTGACGATTTGTTTGTCAGTCAATCCTTTAAATTCAGAATTATTTCTCCAAAGTTTGGCTTTTTTCAAATAATAAAAATCACCCTTAACCAATTGTTTCTTTCGATCCACATATTTTGAATTATCACTATAATAATTTCTTTTTGATTTAACTAAAGATGTAGACAAAGTTGTGTGTTGTATACTAGATGTATTGAAATTTGTTTTACCAATTTTCGAATGATTTGGGTTTGCAGTTAACCTCCAGCAGTGCTTTTCAAGCCAAATTCGAATTAATGAAATCATTTTTAAATATTACTATAGCCTTTTTTGAGATACAAATCATAGCATCACAAAAAAAAAAGATATCAACAAAATAGGCCGAGTATAAATCAGTACCTGATGTGACGCGATTTTTACCTAATAATTTCGTATCACATCGACATACATATACGTATAAGTAATTTTATTACTTCTGACATAACACATATTAACGTTTAATATACATAGCATATTTTATCTAGTTAATGTTATTTTATACTAAACTTTTGGGAAAATGAGTGTTAACAAGTGAAAGCCGGGGAATCTAAACATAAAATAATATATTTCTTTATAATAGTCTTCATATGAGTGATGCCAAGAAAAAAACCAGACTTCGGTCCTTCTGAAAAGCTTCGTGAGTAGACTTCAATGGTAAACTAAGGTCCGTTGGGTTTCAGGCCATGGTTATACTCAAGATTCCCATATCTCGTATATATGTCGTACGTCGGGAATGTGGTCCACTTGATTGGAACGGAATTCCAAATGTAGCCCAAGTTGATACGAAATTTAAAGTTGATTCTAAAGTTAATACTGTACTGTAATAATAGATAAATTTTAATAGCAAGTTGATTTTAAAATTGATAATATACACAATAAATGTGCAATCTATTGACATAACAATAGTTAAGATAGAATACGATTTTTTTACTACTTTTTCTTATTTCACTTTCTCATCCTCCGAAAACACTTTATCGATAACCGAATCTCAATTTTGCTCCATAATGCATTCGAAGAATTATTTCCAAATATATTAGGCTAATAGTCGACGTAAACCCTTTATAAAACGTAAAAGACTTTGATTTTTGCATTAGGGTATTACAAGATCTAGCACAACGATTAAAAACACTCCCATGCAAGATCCTCGAAGTTCTGGAGAATAGCACATATAGCTTGGATACAAATCCAGGATTATTAGAATTACGTATAATGCTAATAAATTTCTTGTTAAGTTCTAACAAGTTTTCAAAATTAGATAGTACAGTCGACTCTGGATACAACGAATCAAAATTTTGAAAATTTGCAATAGTTCAATATAAAAAATGCAATGGATTCTTAAGAAAACAATAATTTTATAAATGAAAAATTTTTTTTTCAGAATCTTTAGTTTGTTATAGAGTTGACGGTATTTCTTCAACGCTTATAAGCGTTTGTGAAGCATCTATGCAGCCTTCTTTACAAGAAAGTAATATTAAATACAATTGCAAAGACGCGTGACAAAAATCATTGTAAATGTAAAGGATTAATATACCTTGTGGGAGTAGTTGCCATCCCACCAATCATGAATGTAAAATTTTCATGTAATGCTTTTAATTAATTTGCAATGAATTGCATTATAAATAAACTCTATCTTAAAACCAAAATAACATACTCTATATGAAATAATTTGGAATAAACTTAATTTATTGTAAGTTGAATTGTAATTCTTTAACAACTCGGCACATTTTAGAATTCTATTATAACCTATGTTTATTTGGAATCAACATTAGGTGCTTTCTGAATCCACAACAATTCCATTCCGGTGTACAACACATATACTTTGTAATTTAATATATGGGCTGCCGTCAATAGAAATCAGGTAGATTGACATTTAAAAAAAAAACAATACCTTACCTTTTACTGTTCATATCTTGATGAATTTAGTACCTAGTTTAATTATTTAATATTCAAAAGGAAGCTTGAGATCTAAGCTTTCTTTCGGCTATTGAATAATTAAATTGGCATCAAAATTCATCAAGATATGAACTGCGAAAGGTAAGGTATTAATTTTTTTTAAAAATGTCAATCTGCCTGATTTCTATTGACGGCAGCTCATATATGTTTGGCCAATATTGAACTATAACAAGATCAAGAAAATTCAAACCAAGCGTCCGTTTGAAGAAATTATTTTTCAAAAATCGTATAAAAATTCTTTCGTGCTCTAACAAAAAGTTCTTTGGTTAATTTATATTCACATATAATTCTCGAAATAACGGGCATCTATGCGATATTTCGAGTAGTCCATGAGCGTTGTTTTGAAATAACATCGATTTTTCTAATCGTGGAGGACCTTCACGATTGGCATAATAAACAAAAGTCTCTGTGATGATAATGTGCGAATTTGATTTTCTTTACATTAGTCAATTTTCACGATTGACTAACATAATGACTATGATACAACTATTTATTATGAAACATACTGTAAGAGTAGAATTATTGTCGTGACTAATGCTAAGATTAGCTGATGCTGAGATTGGGGTCTTAATTTGAGTCTACCAAACCTACTAAAATTCACACATACTTTTTCATTAACAACTCTAACCATGAATCCTGTTCCAATCCTAAAAAGAAATAAAAAAAATACACCCAAAAAATTCATATTAAAATAGGATCAATTTTCAGCACCAGCTGATCTTAGCTTCAGCCGCGACATCTATCATAAGAGTAATTAAAAATTCCCGAAAGAACACAATGTCGATAAAGTTGGCTGGTGTTAGCTATAACAGTTGATTTAGTCAAGATTATGTTCTTTCGGGAAAATAACTTTTTGGAAAATCATGCAGCAGTCGTTAACAATTATTTCCTTTATTACTAATGCAACAGTCATAATGAGCTAGGTGAATTAAGATTGCATAAGAATCTAAACAACTATATCGTTATAACTGAACACAATAAGTTTTTCAGTAAAATTTACATCTTATTAACTATATTAATGTTGTAAGTGGAAACAGATTCGGAATGTTTATATAAAACCAACATTTTGGGGAACCTAACCCTAATTTAACTAGAAAATTCCAAATCGACTTAAATTCCATTCCTACTTACAACATTAATATAGCTAATTTTTCTCGTATTCATATGTAGGTACTTGATCTTGTCGAAAAAGAAATATGTACACAATAAAAGAATGGCTTAAAAATATCGAATCAAACCTTGTACCAACCCAAAAATAGTTGGGTCTGGGTCAAAATCCCGATAAACGAAGCAGAATCCGACAGATAAAATCCCGACAAAAATTGATTAACACTTTAATGCAAGCTAACTTACCGAGATCTTGCTAAAACTATTACCTAAACTACAGTTGATGCAATTCGTTCTAACTCAGAATGCATAGAAGTTCAATAAATAATTTGGGTGATTATGTTAGGAGGATTACACATGTACGTACGTACGTGCATGCTAGTACAGTCCATGGGTAAATAAATCTTGATAAAAACATCTAGTGTTAAACAAAATCTAGGTTTCATCACTAACGAAAACGAAACTAGTCTTACATCTCTAGTTAAGGCAACATAGTTATCAATAAATTATATACTCTATTTCACTAGCTAGGTTCCTAGTACAGCCATACACATAACTATTGCACAAACTAGACCTTTCGCGGGAGTTCCGTTACTTTCCGTCTTTTAGAAGGTTAGGTCGCATCTTCGTCATTTTATAAAAATAGTTTCGTCTAACAACGCCATTATTCGATCACCTGATTCGAATCTTATTGCTCATTTCGTGATTCATTCCTGGATTCTTACTATACTTACTAATTGGGTTGCGAATCTAAGCATTGGAAAGAAAATCTTTTTCATCCCCATTTTCAATATATAGCGCTCTGCTGACCCTTGATCATACGTTTCAATTGTCTGCGGCTGGACCAGGCAGATGGTCTGACTAGTGACTGATTTTCTTGAACGCTAATCATAAAAATGGCGCAATTTCCGGTAAATCTTTCTTATTAAAAGTGTGTAAAGTTATTGTATACATAAGTAAAACTAAAAAAAAAAAATTAATTTGATTTGAGTTTCAGAATCTTAATAAATTACTATACAAGAAATTAGAAATTCCACAGAAATTTGATTTTGTTAATGATGATTTATTTACGGTAATTAATCATACATGACATGCAAAAATCTTTGAATTATTAAATGGAATAATATAATTTAAATTAAATTAATTCACAGTCATCAATCATTTTAAACTATGACGACATAATTTTGATTCACGGATTAAATTAAGAACACATAGTTTGGTATATAGTCGTTAATCATTTATCAATTTGTCAAATTTATCTACTAAGCCGGAATCAATACATGATGCGCACATGTTATAACAATATAGACACATGAGAAAAGTAAATTTGTTATAATAAAAAGAGAAATGAATATAACGATAATAGATTTTACGGTTCGTACCATTACGTCTGGCTAAAAAAAGTAAAGTGTTGAATATATGCGTCATCAACTTCTTAACAGATTTGCATCTATTATATAATCTATGAAAAAAGACAATAAAAAAAGTGAACAAATCTCTCGTTTAAGTTATTTGATGGTAGCGGTAGTGACACACTTATATTTTAATTACCATTGATAATCTTAGTTATGAACATTTTTAACTGGACAAGTATTTTGATAAAACATTGACTATTCTAATCATAATTAATAATTCTTTGATTTTATTTAATTATATCTAGCCCATTATTTCTCAGAAAAAAAAAAAGAGTAGAAAAACGTATACTTTGAAACCTCCTTCCTTAAATCTTAAAATTTTTCATAATTTTATTTTATAACCTTTTTTGATTATTGCGCATTCTTATATACTCTTATATACTCTTTTCGGATATAAAAAATGGGTCTCGGACAATCCAAAAATATTTCAATAAATGATAGTAATAAATTTGGCACCAAACTTGACACCAAACCTAACACCAAATTTGACAACAACAAAATTGAAAGACGAAAAAAATTCCGTTCTTGGTCAGCCTTATCAAAAGGAGATGGAAATCTTAATGAAATTTGGAATTTTAGCAGTGGTGGTAAACGAATTCATTACAGTAGCTTAAGAATCTCCAAAATTTCAGATTATATCATTGATGAGGAATCAAAAAGACTACAAAGACGTCATCAATTATTTAAACGGATTTGGCAAAATAATTTTTCAGCACCCGTTGATGAAACTTTAACGGCTGGTGGGGCTAGAGTTCTAGAGATTGGGTAATTTTTTTTTTGAAGAAATTTTTAATCGATCAAATATTTATAGATATTATATAATAAATTATTGTCATTTGTTATTTATAGATGTGGACCTGGAATGTGGACAATCGAGATGGCTAGATCATATCAATCATCTACGTTCACCGGTGTAGATATAATTCCATTATTTCCACAAGAAAAGAAACCAGAAAATGCAAAATTTCTTCAAGCAAATGTACTTAGTGGTTTACCTTTTTTAGACGATACGTTTGATTTCGTGTATATGGGTCTATTGGTAACTGCATTCACTGCTACTGAATGGGAGAAAGTTATTCCAGAAATAGTAAGAATAACAAAACAAGGTGGTTGGATAGAATTTATGGAAAGTGATTTTCAATATTATAATGAAGGTCCTACAACTGCGCGCTTAACTGATTCATGTATGTATACCGATATTGTATTTTAGTCAATTCAAAAAAATTTCGACACTCATAATCCTCGAATTCTCTGAAGCCTGAACAAAAGTCATCCACCTTGACAACGTATTCTTGACAATTTATCATTATTATACTGATAATTCATATAAATTTTAATTTGTTTTTTAAATTATAATGAATTATCAAGATTTTTTATGTTGGAATTTTTGTTGTCAGGCTTTTTTTTGATAATGATTATGACTTTCGGGATTTCTTAATGAATTCATAGCTGTGATCAAAATTATAATCAAAAACTTTGTTTGTGGCGCAGTAAAATCGTTTATGAAATCAAAAGGGATTATTGGACCTCTAGATTTATATATACTTAAAACAATGGAAGCAAACGAAAGTATCGATAAAAACATTAAAACTGAAGAAAGATCATGTTTCGTTGGGAAATGGGCTGGTGAACTTGGTCAATTGGTAAGCTTTATAAATTTAATTATTCCCACTTTTATATCAATATATAAACGTTATATTTAAATTTGACTTTTTATATAGGCTGTTGAAGATATCACAAAAGGATGGATCACTGTCAAATCACCGATGTCAAAACTAATGAGAATAAAATCTCGTGAATACGATGAAATAATAGTAACTTTTGTCAAAGAAGTTGAACAACATAAAACATATTTTAAAAATTGGCGATTTTTTGGTCAAAAAATTATTACTACATCTGCTTCTAATATAACTACTCCATCATGGTACCAGTAAATATTTTATAGAGAACGCGTATTTAGACTTCTAATTTTTTTTTTTTATTGTTTAATCATAAATTTTATTTGTTTTCGCGAGGTGTGTTAACTTATTATATCACAAATAAGCAATCTTTAAATAAACAGTAATATACATATCAATATTTAATTAAAAATAGCTGTATAAAGATAATAGTATAATTATCATTAGACGACTAGATTTGTATTGCATTTTCCGTTTCAGTCACCATAGACAAATCGCGCTTCTTTCAAAGGAATATATATGCTGGACCTTTTAACAGTTATTCTTTGTCCAGCCAGACCTATAAACGTTATGTGAAATCTTGACAGAATTTATTAATACAGAAAGGGACGTTATTAAATAGAAAATGTGAATGTATATGTCTAATTACACATAAGCTTTCTCCATTTTATATTTAACAACGTCCATATTAAAAAATGTATTCAAGATGTTCATCAGATAACTGATTAAAATCATGAAATCATGTAATATTGCCAAGAAATATGAGAATATAATTATCTAAATATACCGTTAAATGCAACATCATGTTCATAAAAGAAATTAAACGTTTAAGGATGGTACATGATCGGAGAAGAGATGTCGCTCAAATCAAAAAAAAAAAAGAAAAAAAATTTTTTTATCAAATTTACAATTCCTCCGATAATAAATATACAAACACACAATCGATATTATTATTACTCTTAAAATAAATATATCTGCTATATACTTAGCCTCGATCAATATCAGGACAATTTGCAAATGCAAATTCCAATTTTCTAATTAATTCCTCTTTCGAATTATTCGGTGGAATAATAAGCCTATTGAAACACGTACGAGCCTTAGGCAACGCACGTTCATCCAAGCCAGAATCTCTAAATACTTTTAGATTCAAGGCTTCAAACCCTCCAATTGGAAGTTTCGAGCTTCCTGTTGCAAAACGTAAAAATCTCTTTCGGTTGTCTGTATCATATTCTGCCATTATCTGGATTACTTTTTCGACTTCTTCATTGTTGGTATTAGCATCATATGGTTGGACATACTGCCGTAGTGTTTCTATACTCCAATCGCCATCACCTCCTTGATGCAGAAAATATAATGCGAACTCTGTCGAAGTATATTCCTGCATGACTTCAATAGGAAATACCCGGTTAAATCCTTCTTTAAAGGCTTTGGCCTGCAGAGTGATTCCACGATTAAAAAACCAATCTCTGCATATTGCTACGTATCGAGCTATATTTTTACGCGTTACCCACTCATCCGAATCGTCACCATGATTAATGCTATATGGCTGCTCTCTCTTTTTTCCGTCGGGTCCAACTACCGACGTCGTACGACCAGTCATAACGTCGTATGGAATACAATCTTTTTCGTCAAGGTCAATATTATTAAGTATCTTCCGTAGGTTAGATCCAAATGATGGATAGACAGACTCAATCAGCTCAACGACTTTCAAGCAGTCTTCCTCACTTAGATCGATTCCCTGTGGAAATTTTCGTAACAAATGTTCTGGATGTAACAAAATATCGATGAAAGTCCTGTTCAATCTTAATATAATCATTCGATCATCGTATATAACTTTTGCAACATATTGACCAAGAAGCTTAAAGTTTTCCAAGATATTCAATTCTTCATTCTTCAAGTTTTCTTTCTTAGATACTTCATTTGACTCATCCACTGTTTCAATTCCTTCTTTCGATTCTCCATCCATTTTTTCATCAATTTCATCCATTAAAGCTGGATATAATCCATTATCATTATCAATAGGGTCATTTTGTTTGTATGGCTTTTTGTATTTTACGTCATGAACCCACATTTTCCGGCAAATTTGTGAAAATTCAAGTGATAATTTAGAAAAAAATTCACGGGCCACACCATCTCCAATCCCCCCAACTCCTTCGAATTGAACACTGAGTCTTGACCCTGTAACTGCATATTTTTCAAAATGTTGACGAACCCACCCAAACAAATTGTCCATAGATATAGATGGTGTCGCCTGCATAGGTCCAGGAAGAACTTGACGAATCAAATTTAACACCTTACGAGCATTATTAATGTCTATTCCAAACCTTTCGGGATAAAGTAAACCAAAGGTCTTACCGATGAAGAATTCATGACGCTTCATTGGGTTAAGTAAGAACGGGACTTCAGAACAAATTTTGAGAAACGCGTCAGGAAAAACTCGCGTCAAAATAGAAACCGGGTTTACAACGATATCAATATGTGTTTCTAGCTCTTGTGACACGAACGGACTAGGATCATATTTATCAACTGAAACAGCATCTGCGTAAGTAGAATGGAGAATTGCCATAAATCTCGTGACAAGCTCCACATAAGCATCGTTTCCAGTCCCTAATTTAGTAGGAACATAATGATCTGGGAATGGTGGAAGAGCAGATACCACTTTTTTAAATTTAATTATATATTCATCATCGTTATTCCAAAATTTTTCTTTGGATTGCTCGACATTGGTTCGTGACAAATGCCGATAAATGACCTCAAATAATGTAGAATCAAAATTTATACGCAGGTCATCAACATAGAACTCTAGATGCCAATCAATTTCATCATCTGATTCTTCATAGGATTCATTGTCATCATCATTTGGTGGGTCGAAAAGATCATGTTGTTCATCATCATCAAATAATTCATCTTCGACCTCACCTGAATTTTGACTTTGCGACAGTGATGATGATGAACCATTTGACACTTGGTTTCCTACAGGTTCACGTGCTCGTTCAAAATATCCGACTAACCAAAATGGTTCTATGTTAATATACCTCTTGAAACAAAAAATATATATAAAAGGAACTGAATTATTTCTGAATTACCTTCCGATTCACTTTCATCCAGCTCGCTTTCTTCCAATCCATCATTTTCTTGTTCATCTTCTAAATCATCATCAGATCCATCATTATTACTCCTACCACCTAAAGTGACTTCTGTTGAATTATCTAAACGACGACCAATTTCGAATGAGCCTTCTGATTCACCCTCACCGTCAGTCCCATTTTTATCACTGGTTACTACATCTTCTCTTGTATTTCGTGTTGATGTGCTTGCTTCTCCTTGATTAGTTGATCCCTCACCAACTTGTTGAGACCTGCGTCCTATCATATATTCTTGTATATCTCCAAATAAATCTGGTTCATCTTCAAACAATTCTTCCAAAAAACTATGTTGAACCAAAGGTATTCCATGACGACGAGATGTTCCAGAAGATTCTCCCCTCTCATTTCGTGATGTGCTACCCTCGATCTCCTGAGTATCAGAACTTGTAGAAGAACTCTGATGTACTCTGCGCTTCTTATTACTTGGCTCATTTGTAAAAGTCTCAGGTTCATCAGCAAAGAGCTCTTCCAAAGTAGAGAAGCCCTGTTGTATTGCTGAAGGTACAATATGACGACGAGAAGTTTCTGGTTCTAAAGATTCTGTGGGAATATGACGACGACGAGCACTCAGGTGATCTCGAGACATTGTGGTTCTATTGATCTGTCGAGCTAACCTTCGTGAGATGTCTCTAAATCGCTCACATGGTCCAACATTACTTCTTATCGTTTGACTAGGATTGTCCATTGCAATAAACTTTATATTGAAGCGGCTAGAAAGCACACTGAATAGTTGATCCGGATTAAGCGTGTAATAACGATAATATTTAAGTGCATCATCTAATTCTCTTAATAGTTGTTGGATCAATTTTCCAAATGAGGACTTATTCCAATCAACTTCACTTTCAACGAAGGGCTTAATTATTTCATCATAGAACGTTGATATCTTGTCATTTTCAGAAAATGAATTCAATAACTTATTGATTATGTTATGTTCCATTAAACTACCAATCGACACGCGATCTAAATTATCAGCTAACTCCAAGACACCATCACGGTAACTATGATCGTTATCAAGCTTCTGTCCGATAGACATGCATATTTCATCTGTTGATCTAGCATTTTCAGATATCAATCTTTTTTCTAATTTTAGAGTCACTTCATCAAGACTACTCGCGCTGCGACTCGTAAGTGGAGTATTAGCTAGTACTCGCATGCCACCTAAGAGGCTTAATGAGAGATGAAGAGTTGACTCCTTTTGAATATTATAATCAGAAAGCGCGTGACTGTCTTCAAGTTGTTTGCCAGAGAATATTAGACGTTGCTGGTTTAAAGGAATTCCTCTCTCCTTATTTTGAATCTTTCGTTTTATACATTCAACAGAGTCAGTTGGTTCAACTGTGAAGGTGATGGTTTTGCCAGTCAAGCTCTTTACAAAGATTTGCATCGTTCTTGGAACTGGGACCGATCAATAAAATAATAGCCGGTCAAAACTTAAGTTTTATTAATTTGTCAAGTTCAAAGGTCACTTGCGTATATCGATGTAATGGAACTTATAGTAAAATTATCACATGATTAGGTTGATTAGGTTATCATTAAATTACGAGGCAACCCATGAATCATACACTGATTAAAAAAAAAAAACCGGGGTCTATACGTAATAATACCCGGGTATATTGTACAGCAGAGTCTATTTCGTCGTCAAAAGGAATATTCCCCTGTCACTGTGCTTCGCGCTGACCCTTTTTCAGTGTAGACCAATCAAACTTGGTTCCAAATCGGTTCAAGTGGTTTTTTTTACCATGAATTTTTAATTAAACTATATGAAATGTGGGTTTAATCCATTAATATTATACCATTTATATACCAATTAGAGACGATATAATCGTACGTACGTACTTACATTGTCTGTTATTAATACTAAGAATGCTAAACTATATGTATTTTGTCTATTTGGACACCGTTATGATTGGTTTATTGTTTGTAAATCATTTTATGAAGTGTTCATCGATTTTTTTGAAAAATGAAACATTAAATCAATCAAAAAACTAACACATTTTACTATTAACAAAGCTGTTACTTTTTAACGATAATATTTTTTTTTTAATAAGTTTTTTTTTTTATGCACATACACATATATTGGTCGTCTTATTAAGCATGATACACCAACTTGATACATTTAAATTAAAATGTAATTACACAAAATTTTACATATTAACTTGTAATTAAATAAATATATTTAATATTTGAAGATTTATAGAATATATTTATAAAAA